TGTATTCGATCAGACCGCTTGCAGAATGTTGCTCTCTCGAAAATCGGGCAGGAAATACGGAGTCAGGATTTTAAGTAAGACGAGAAGGATTCGCCTTATCCTCATCTCGCCCATAAAGCCTTTTATGTGTTCACGACAATAAACGTTCGTCGGACCATGTCTAGCTTGGTCCAGGCTCTCAGTCAGCGGGGACGATCGAAAAAGCGGGCGCGCGACGAGCGAGGTCTGGGAGATAGAGAGGGAGGTCCGCCCTATCAGCTTTTTCTCTCCCAGACCCCGGTCGTCCATTGACCGAGAGCCTGGAACAGGAGAGACTATATCAAACTCACTGTTATGAAAAGTCTATCAAGTGTCGGTTATCACGCCCCCAAAGACGTCTTTCTCAAGAACACGAAAGATTGAGGTTCGATTCATTTTCATGCATATCAAACTCATTTTCATATGAAAGGTTTTGCACGAAGATTGGTTTTGAAACAGAGGCACAAGGTAACTCGGAAATGGCCTATTTAAAAGGTGTTTTGAAATGCAAAAGCCTGAGCATTTAATGGGTTAAAATGAATTCAAGTTTTAACAGAAAAAGCTGACTCCAACAGTGTACTAAACCATGAGCAGCAACGCCAAATAGTCACCAGTTACGAGTTAAGATACACGACGTTAATTAAGAGAACTTGGCATTGAGAAAAGAGTCGTAGAAAAAATCCCATGGAAGCAGCAAGTGCCGGCATGCAGGTGAACGAAGGAGCTTTCGTAATGTGATTCAAGAAGACTGAGCTGGTGTCTTGCGATCGCGAAACAATAGATACAGGCAACACTCCTGCTCAACAGAGTAAAGTGAAGAAAATTCTAAGTCAAAAGATTGAACAGTGCGGATTTGAATTTCGCATGTTTCCCTTAAAAGAATTTATTAACTCTTTCGTCCGTTTCTACATTAGGCGCAAAATGTGTGTTACATGTATCTACCTTCATTTTGACTTCAGCGGCAGTAAACTGTGTACCCGGCGTTCTCAAAAATATGACCTGAACCCTGAAAGAAAGAAAAAAACAGATAAAGAAAACTTTCAAAGCAGCGCACCAGGGTAAAACTAGATCAAAACTAGATGAAAAAGATACTCAGTATTGTGTGTGCTG